TTTCCATTTTACTGAATAAAGTGTAAGTGCTTGAGCTCAAAGAGAGCCTATTTAGTTTGGCATACCCTTTTACATAAATAAATCAGAAATAAGTTTTTGTGTTAAACACAGAAGTATAGAATTCAGTTACTCAATAACAAGAAAGCTCTATTTTACTTATACAGCATTATAGCTCTTATCATCCGATAGTGATCCTTTACCCACCTCCTTATGGAGGACTGAGGAAAGATTTCTACTCTCCATTCCACAGTCGATTCTAGATGATTCAGCTGTCAGCATACAAACCAGAAAACACCTCAGCCTCATAAAATCACATGCATTTGTGATTTCTCTTCATGTTTACTGAAAACTGCAGCTGTAGTAAACTCTCTAAGATACATTTCATCCACACCCTCCCCTTACCACTAGTCATTAAACAAAAAGTAATGATATTAAGTAATATTCTCCCATCCAGCCAGTAGAAGGCCCTTGCATAGGTGAAAATCTACATCTGCAGTGAAATAAAAAATTAATTAAATGCAACCAAATGCATCCTGATATACATCTACACTGACTAAAAGATACAGTTTTACATGGTTTATTCAAAATTCTCATAAAAGCAGATTTTGATTGACCTTACGCCACAGAATGTCAAATGTCAAGAGGTCACTGGATCAAAATAGGCTTGACTGACAGTCTAGTTGTTCTCAGCTGCCAGCTTGGTAAAAGCATTTCTATGTTGTCAGTAAGTGTTAGTGGTTTACAGCACAAACAGTTCATTAAGCAATGAAGCCTCCAGGCTGATTGCAAAGTGGAAATTAAAAGCAAAAGCTGCCAGACAAAGGGTCTCTCTTTATCTTTAAACATTATCCCAGTATCTCACAGGTAGCGCACAGAAGGGACGGCTCGGGTGGGTCTCTCTCAGAGGACACCACAGCTGTCTCCACAGGGAGAGCACTTTAATTAGATGTCAACACGCCAGAGGAGATGCAGACTTTACAATACTCTGTGGTACAGGGCTTGGCTGAGTTTCTACAAAACTGACGTGACTGGTCATGGGTGGCAAGTCTTGTGGGTGGTTATATTTCCATGTGTGAATATAAATATGTCAACAAAAATATTTTCCGAAAATATGTTGACTGTTCCTACCAAAATGTCAGCAGAAATGTGACCTGTATTACTGCATCAAACAAATAGGTCTAAGGTTATGCTGGCAGTGAGAAATTATATATTATATATTTTTTATAAATATTATAATATTCTATTGTCTAGTTTACTTCCACAACAATGGATTAAAGACAAAAATATGTGTGTGGCTGATCGCTGGCAACATGAGGAACACATCCATATGGGGGGAAAAATTAAGTAGTTGAAGAAAAACGAGGGGATGCAGTGGTCTGTTGTTCCCATGACTTATGGCCAATCTTTGAAACAACAGACAACTCGTTTTTGTAGAAAAGAGAAAAAAATATCTCCCAACTGCAGTTGCTGAAAAGACACAGAAAAATACACTTACAATGAACAGTTCACCCAAAAAAATACAATATAAATGCATACTGGCTTGCGTAGTGGTTCATATGGCATCATAATATTTGGAATAAAGCGCATATGGACTACTTTATGGTGTTTTTTTGTCTGCTTTCATATATGCTTTCACTACTAAACAACATAACTGACTGCTGTCTCAAGAAACCAATTTCCTACTGGACAAGTTTCAGATGTCTCATATCACTCCACGGTTGCAGCCTTCTCACGTAATAGAATAATTTAAACTCAAATCAATATTTGATGTCCATTTATTTATTCACTTGGCAAGTAGCTGTGTATTAAGCCGGACAATGTACAAACACCCAGTCATTATCACAAAATAATATGCTTCAGGGTGATACAGACCCTTCTGCATCGCCTCCGTCTTTATTTGGGCGATAATGACTGGCTGACTGCAGATTATGCTTTAGATAATTATTCTCTCCGCCACAAACCCAAGAGTTACTATTCCAAACCCTGGCTCTAATACCAAACCAAACAGAAACATTTTCAATTCTCAGTGTTTTTCTCCTGGCAGTGAGAACTCTATAAAACTTCCCCACCAATGCCAAAAGTGGAACAGTCTACTACAGCAAATATTCTGACTTTTAATATGTTGGGCCATTGGAGCTTATACCGTGTTGCTCTTTGATGTGCCAGCATGCAGTTAGGGAAAGAACCGTTTTATCTCTCTGTTCTCTGAAGCCTTCCATCCTCCTTTTGGTTAATATGCTCTGCCAGATTCAAGGACCTCAGAATGCTGAACACTGTCAATATCGATATTTGGCCATACAGTCGAAAGCCCCTAGAGACACTGGTAAACACAAATGAGACTTTTAAATTGAATGACTGATGTGAGAGATGGCTGTGTTGCATCAGCAAGAGCTGTTTAGTATGCTGCGGTTCAACACTTAATTGTCTACTGCTGTGTCAGATGACTGCAATAGAAATCTCTAACTTCTGTAATGGGAAAGAGTCTGTCTCTTACATCGAACACGGAGCTGTTTACCACTTAATTTCCCATTTGCTTTAACTCCGCAAACAGCAGCTATGAACCTGCTTGAATATAGATTTTTTTTTTAAAAACAGTTAAAGATAGAGCAGCACATTGATAAGAAAGGCAGCTGCTAATTTTCATAAAGTTCAACTTTTCTCAACTTTGCCACACCAAAAGCATACCTGCACGCCAACAGTGACTGTAATTCTCATTGAAAATGAATTACTTCCAATTAGAACCAAACAGCCTCAGTTTTGCACCCTTATGCCATAGGTGAACCTAAAATTAGTATTCCCTATTTCTTTAGAAAGGCATTACTGTGCTGTATAGAACACCACTATTTAAAAAATTTTTAACAATTAAAAAAAAAAATTTGGGGAAGGCGTGGCCTAATGGTTAGAGAGTCGGTCTCATAACCCAAAGGTTGGGGGTTTGAGTCTCGTACCGGCAGGGATTGTAAGTGGGGGGAGTGGATGTACAGCGCTCTCTTCCACCTTCAATACCACAACTGAGGTGCCCTTGAGCAAGGCACCAAACCCCCAAATGCTCCCCGGGCGCAGCAGCAAAAATGGCTGCCCACTGCTCCGGGTGTGTGTTCACGGTGTGTGTGTGTTGTTACGACCCTATAGTTTTGTTGTGTTTTGTTCTGCTGGTTTGTGTGTGTCTGCCCAGGTTGCTGCTGATTGGTTCCTGCAGACTCATTGATGTCGTCCTCTGATTGGTCTTCTCCCCCTTAAAGGAGATGACAGCATTTCCTTCAGGGAGGTTGTGGTTGTGGTTG